CTTCTCTTCCAGTCCCCAATTCTCTGTCCAGCCCTCTTTGACAGGTGAGCTCAGCCCAGTCTCCTGCTGCTCAGCCCAGGGCTCACAGATGTGGCCCTTCCACTTTCCCTTAGGGAAATGTAGTTTTCATTCTGCTCCCACCCCCAGCAGGGGCCAGCCTGACTCTAGGAATCATTCTGGAAGAATGACAGAGTTGAGGGGTGTTGGTCACCATGGTTATCCAACAAGAAGCAAAATCCAACGAAAATCAGCTTTGCCTGCTAGGCAGCGTCAGTATGGAAGAAGCAGAAGGAGGAGGCTGGGTTCCGAGGCTCTGTTCCGGGTCTGGATGGCTGAAGTATGCTGTGGCGAGGTGTCTGCAGAGGCTGGGCAGCTATGCCCGCGGCCGGGTGGTTCCTAACACTGCCCTGGTGTGACTTCAGGTCCACCGCGCCAGTTCACTTCTCAAGAGCAGCCCCTCGCTTGCCTCCTGCATCCCATGACGGCTGCCTGCCTCCACTTGTCACTAGTCCCTGGACTCTTGGAGCTCCACTTCTCTTTGTTACACTTCACATTGCGGCACATCACACCCAGGTCCCCAACTGCCTTGCATTTCTGTCTGCTGACTACAGCCCGCACACACCTGGGCAGCCGTGTGCTTGCAGGTCCTGTGTCTCCACCTGAATGAGTTTCCTTCTCTTTGTGCAGTTCTTAGCTCCTATGTCACCTTTCTCTCATCACCCAGTGCCAAGGAAGCCTCAAGTCCTAATCACATTTCCTGTTCTCTTTGTAGCACACATCACCTGAAATAACAGCCCAGGGCCCACATCATCTGTGAACTTCATTGGAATCCAAGCTTCTGGGACCCTGCCCACTGGACGGTCTCCTCCCAGAGTCCCCTGCAGAGCATCCTGGGCTCAGTCCTACTTAGTGGGAGTGTCTGTTTATGCACAACTCCTTGATGTTACAGCTTTGGAATGCCCATGGCATCTTGACCCAGTGCATGTGATTTCTGTTGTCTTAACTGAAAACTTCTGTTTTCTGGGGATGGGGACTGAGACCTGAGTGAGCAGCAGGAGGAGCAGAGGGGGTGGGGGGAAGACTAAGAAGCAACTCCTCATGGTCCTAACACTATTCTGTCTCTGTCCAGCTGCCTGGCCCTGAGCAAATGATGGCAAAGAACTGTAGGTTTTAAGTCAAATGGAGGCATCTGCTAGAGGACTTCTGACCCTCGAATCCTATTTTAGTCTTCCCAGTCTCTCACTCTGGGAAAAGTAGACAGTGGTGTGTTTGGACCCATAATTCTGAGGTCCAGACCCTGGGCAAGGACAGGGTTATCATGTTAGTGTGCCCCAGAATCACCTGGAGTTTCTGATTTGGCAGGTTTGGGTGGGACCCCGAGATCTGCATTTCCAACCTGTTCCAGATAGTGTGGTGTGGCAGCCCAGGGCTCACATCAAGAAGCCCTGACCTGGGCATCAGGCAATGGTTGTCAGCACTTTGTCACTCACCCCTGCACTTACCCGGTTTCAGGTGTGTTACCTCACTTCATCCCCACAACCCTGAGAAGTGGAAACCATTAATCCTGGTTTACGGATGTGGAGACAGGCTTGCCCCACACTGAGCAAGTACCTGATGGCAACATCACAGCCAGCCGCCCTCCCTGAGCTGCCTAGAGGGGCATGATCCTTGACATGGGTCATCTAGGTTACCCTGCCTGCATCCCTGACGCCTCACCTCTCTGGTGCGGATGGCCCCAGGTGCCTCTTCAGGGGGCCTCCATGTCCTCTTTTCCCTCTTCCAGAAAATAGCTGATAGCATAGAGAGGGAAAGTGCACCAGCTTGGGGACGGGGCTGGCCTGTCTGCTCTGTTATTTACTACCTTCAAGTAAGTAAATGACAACTGGCTGAACCCTTCTAAGGTGCAGTTTCTTTCTTTTTTTTTTAACTTGTAGAATGAGATAAAGTGTGTACTTCACAGAAATCTAAAGATTAAGTGAAAGTTAGGTGAACGGTGAACAGAAACTATTAGATAACAACCCTTTATGAGGCCACCGGCCTGCCTTTTCCAACAAATTGATCTGATCATAGCACTAAGTATCTTACAAAGATTTTTTCATTCGACAGTTGTAACAATCCAACTTAAAATCCCACTTACACTCCTCTGTCCTTTGCCTACAAGATCAGAGCTAAGATCCTGAGCAAGAGTTACCTCACCAATATCTAGCCCCTGCCTGCATCTCCATCTTGCTGGACTGGAGCTTTCCTCCTCACGGTCTCAGCCCCAGGCTGGCAGTTACGCACCTGTGTTACCAGCCAGTGGCTGAACCCATGCAGTTTTCCGCCTTCCTCCATGCCAGCCTCGCCCTTTCTTCCCTCCTCATTCACCCAATTCGTACTCCTTTTCCAAAGCAGTCCAAGTACACATCCTCTACAATGGTGCCTGTTTTATTCACCCAATACTTATTGGCTGCCTTCAGGTGCTTGGGCTACAGCAAAGATTGTGGCAGAACCTGTCTGAATGAGGCATTCTGCAGTCAAGAGGCCTCTGCTCATGATTGCACACCAGTTGCTGGGTTTGTTTAGCAAATGGTCCCCTGACTAGACCACAGATAAGCCACGTGATCACAGAGCATTGCTTATTTCTGTGCTTTGCAGAGATTGTGCAACTAATACATATGGTATAAGAAGTCTGACAAGAAGATATTCGTGCATTTTCCTTGTTATGCCTGCTTAACCTTAACATCAGCTATTTCTGGCCTTCTCAGTTTACATTCTTATGTAGACGTATCTAAAGTGAAATGAGAATGTGCTTCCTGAAAGGAGTTAGTTTCGAAATTAACCTTAAGCTTGCTGCTTTGCAGGTTGATCACCTGCAGGAGGTTATTCATTCTGTGATTCCTGCTCTAGTCACTCAACTAAAATGCCCAATGTGCTCTATCCCCGTTTTCTCACCTGCCAAAATGAAAGTTGCATGTTAAAAGCAAAATGCACAGCTACAGACGCCTGCCTTCCTTCATGCTGCATGCCTTTACAAACCGCCTGAGTGCAGGTTCCCTGCAAGGTAGAAATGGGCCTTCCCCTCGCTTGATGTATGTTTACCTAGCTTTTCTTCTTGTCATTTAGAAAGGCAATACCTTGTTTGCTCAGCATGTCAGTATCAGCTGCTTCCTACAAGCCAGCTTCTCAGGCCACTGAGACCACCTTAGAACTCCTATCTCTTCTGAATGCCTCCCCTTTCCATCACACACATTCCTTGTGCCAGGCCACTCCAGAGCGGTCCCTGGCTCACAAGGCCCAGTCTACCTGGGCAGGGAGATGTACTCTCCTGGCTTACTCGGCCCCTTTGCTCCCACTTCTCCAAGCCTGGGCTGCACCCACAATTTGCTCTCTTACTGTGGACTTCCCTGAGAGATGAGCAACAAGGCATGTCTTTAGTTAGGTAAGGGTATATGAGCAAACAGGGCTCTGCCACTTCTGAGCAAGTTCAGCGTTCAGTTCAAAGGTGCTGGGAGTCTGACCTCGGAAAAAGTGGGGCAGAATGACCTCCACCTTCTCCCCTACAGTACTTTCAGAAGCACATGTTTGAGAGTTAGGTCTAACACCTCTTCTTTATGTGAGGATCTCGCAGAAGACCCTTTCACATTCCTCAGTGTACTAACCGGGGCTTCTTTGCGTTAACACTGACCCGCCACACTCAGTGGCTTCAAGCCAAAGGCATTTCCTGTTTCTCCCCTCTCACATCCAGTCTGAGTTTTCTCAGGTGACCAGCAACTCTGCTCTTCACAAGCATCAGGGACCCAGGCCCTTTCTCCTGAATGACTTGCCACCCAAAGTGCATCTTAAGATCAGGGAGAGGTCACCACCTTCTCTAGTAGCTGGTAGGAAGGTGAAAAGGATCTGTCACTTAAGGTTTCTGCCCTGAGAATGGCATACATCCCTTTAACTGAACCCCCTGTCAACTAGTCACATGGCCACAGGAGACAGCACGAGGGGCTGGGAAATAGCCCCTAACTAGGAGGCTCAAGGCCCAGCTATGACCCTATGCATTTGTCCAGGAGAGATTCTGGGAACAATTAGTAGTCTTTAGTGAAAAAGCACTTTTTAAAAATTTCTAACATTTATTTCTTTTCTACCTGTATTAAAAAATTATTTATTTACTTATTCTAATTAGGTATATATATGCATTCTGATTCATTGTATACTCTAACATTTCTAACTTTATATAATTATCTTACTTTAATAAGCAGATATAACAAGAAAAAAATCAGCTGTATGTAAAAATGTTAACAAGCTACATTTATCTTAGGGCTGAAACAAGCCTGGGAGGTCACTTGGTATTGCACTGACTAGTTGCTGTCAGTCTTCGCCAGGAGGTCAGGGGCCTTGCTCGTTGCTGACCCTAGTTCTCAATGGTTTTGGACACTTGGGTTTCTAAACAAATCTGTGTGGAAAAAATACATATATGAAGTTGAAAATCAAACCATAGTGATTTTAAATTACATTGGAACTTATCACCTCTGCTGAGTTATTAGAAGTGGCAGGACAAATTCTGAGGAGCTAATCATAGCAAGTTTCTTTCATGCTTATGTATCATGAGTATCAAGTCTAAACAAGAAGCCTGGACAACTCATGAACAACATATGGTATTTGCACTTCCATTCCAAAGGAAAGGCTAAGAAGGGTCCAAATCATGCAGGGCCTAAAGCCCTACCCTGAATGTGGCTCCCAGATATGGAAAGCAGCACACGTGTGACATTCAGGACCCCTGCAAACCTAGACACCTTTATGTGCTGAGAGGTATTACAAGGTCTTGGCCAGGTCCAAAACTATCGTTTCAAAGACAAAAATGAAACATTTTGCCACCATCCAGGACAAAAGAATAATTAAGACAAATTAAGATTGTCAAATTAAGACAGTCCTATCATTTGTAAATTAGGAAAAAATTCTTACTGTAGAGTGAGTGGGAAATCCACTCCATCAACACAACAGTAGACGTCATTAAAATAAATTCAGTGACCTTTTTAAAAAAGATTACAAAATTGAATTTATTGAGTTTCACACAAGATGCACTTATAAAATTAGTACTGAATGCCATTATGACAGAAGAAACGAGTATCATCCCACACTCCCAAGGGCATCTGCAAAGGAAATGAAAATCTGAAGATGACAGCACAGTAACAGTCATTCAAGCAGAACCGGTAGACCAAAGCCACGCTCTTGCTCTGAGCCGGGCTATGTTGGCAAAAGCTCTCTCCAAACCATTCCTATTCACCATGAGCGTTGTTCCTTTTGTTGGTGAGAAGGAGATGGAAAAAAGGTTTTAAAATGGGATACACTGAAACATACACAAAGCAATTAAAATGTTCATTTTTAACTTAAAAATACATCTCGGTTTCACAAATGTATGTCTGTACAATCTCTTCAACATCAATCTTCAGATTTCTTTAGTTTAGTGCAAAACATTAAAATTCACTTTTGTATTTCAAATGAACAAGCCAAAGCATTAAAGCTTGCTTTATATTTTACCCAGGACAGACAAATCACCCCAAATTTGCCTTTTGCATAAATATACTTGAAACATTTGCATAAAACAATTTCAAAAATGAAACACCAATAGAAATAAAGTGATCAATACCATCTTCTGGACAGTTCTGTAATCAGAAGTGGTCAAATTTTTATAGAAATGCTGAAAGGATTCTCAAGATAAAATGGGGTGGAAACAACCTGTCCTGTAATGTAGGCTGTGACAAGCAGTAAAGCAGAAGTGGAATCTTAATCTCCAACAAAACCAAAAAGCACCCTCTGATTGCTGTTCCCAACATCCACAAATGCCTCCCACACCCAGACGTGCATCCACACACAGACACCCCTATTCACTTTCACAAGGGGCCCTCTAACAGCAGAGGCTGGCCTACAGTGTAGGCACGGTCCCTGGCACCTGCCCATGCAGAACCCAGACCCCGCCTGGGCACAGGTGCACTGCTGACGAATGAATGAAGAATACATCTTATAAGCCCAAGCAAGAGGATGGTGCCTGATCCACTTTGAATATTTACTTTGAAACTGTTACTTAAAAAAATCCAGTTAAAGTTGATAGTTTTGAATTTTGTACACTGACAATTTTTCAGCTTATTCAACACCAAATCCTTTAGCTGATGAAATGATTAGTTTTAAAGCAAAACCAGTTAACTATACCTTAAAGTTAACACTGCTCTGCCTTTTCAGTAAAAAAAAAAAAAAACTGCCTTTTTATAAGGGAATTTCTATTTTATCCTCTGCAATTAAATGAAACATAGCTCACATTTTGCTTTAAAGAGTAACCTGAAAAATTATAAAACATTTTCTCAGTGATGCATAACCTTCATTAATTAATTTTTTTTAAATAAATGAAATGGCTTAGGGTGTTTTTTTTTCTCTATAAAATGCTACTATTCATCATGTCTTATTTAAGGTAGCCTTTTATTCTGATAAATTCAGATATATCTTCAAGGATTATTCTGGTGGTAAGAACATTTATCTTGACTTATGTTTAATAATTTTAATGCTTTGGCAGATGAAGTAAAGTCTGAAAACTGTCTATGAAAATGGTGTGACTGGAGAGTCATCATGGTAAGAGCTCCACAGCTGTCCAGGTGTACATCTGCATTTTGAAGAGGCCTGGAGACAATGCCACACTCTGGGAGCCCAGGTGACAAGCCAAGAGCTCTTGCTCCTGGCCACACGGGAAGTGCTTGTCTCCGTCAAGTTTCCCAGAGTCGAGGCCAGAGGTTGCTGCTGTTCCGTGATCGGACCTTTGGCCAGACCACATTACTGGAAGAGAGATACTAAGATTTGCTTGCCATTAATAATTTAAGTTTTTAAATAAATATTCAAGTGCCATGTTTAGCATCGGTCTGTCCTGGCAGCAGAGCACTTGCTGCCCAGGGCCAGCATCCTCAGCACAAGCCACGGAATTCAGTCAATTCGGTTTCCACAAATTGTGAACCTGTCTATCTCTAACAAATCTTTCTTTGAGGATCTGTGTTTTAATTCAGAATTTTCCTGTGTTATGTCCTTTTCATCACCATCTGGAGTTGTCAGAAACTGATCAGAACTGCTGGTCACAAGTAGTGGTATGACATTTTCCTTCTGATGAGCAGGCTGGCTGGTGACTGAGGCAGACAGGTTTTCCTCTGTGGAAAGTCCTATGGAAAAGGAGAGCCACTGAATTAGAAAACAGGTTCCCCTCAATTTACAGTAACCATGAGCTCCTCAATACCTGTGTTTTCAGTAGTGCTGAAAACAGTGTCCATCTCCCCTCTTTGGAAAAAACAAATGACCAAAGTGCACACTAGATAAGCAGCTGTGATTTACAATAAAACTCAGAAGCTGCCCTACTGTTCACTCAAGATTTTCAGGAAGGGTGCATTATTTTGATCACGTCACACAAAAAACACTGTCACCCTGTTCTGAAGAGACCCAACTCTGATACCAAGGCTACTTCCTAAATGGCCATATCCTAATGTAACTGTGGCCAGATCTGAAAAACAAGCCTTGGCTCCTCCACTCCGGCTGCTGTAGTCATTGTAGCTAGACAGAGGGCAGAAGCACTGCTCCAGAAGTCCAGGTCAGTGGGGAAACCCACCCATCACCCAGTCAAGTCCCCAGTGTTTGAATTAAGCCACAGGGATCCCCGAGCGTGGCCTTGAGGACAGTGGGGCTGGGCTTGGGCATGTACATTTAATCCTTTTGAGATTGTCTTCTTTGGGCCAAAAAAGGAACTGCTCACAAACTGCACCTATTACAAGTGCGATGAGTTTTGCCATCTGCATACACCTGTTGAACCACGGCCATCATGGAGGCAGTGTATGCACCCAGCTGCCTCTTGGGGTACCCTCCCTCTAGCCCTGCTGTATTCTGTTTCTTTTAGAATGAACGGGGTTAACTCTGATGCTGTCTTGAGCATGGCCCCCATCTACCCTTTCCTGCTTGACTTCATCGCCCTCCAGAATGGACTCTAAGTCTGTGGTCTCCTGACTTCTAGGACATTCTTTGCAGACACTGGTCTAATTTGTACTGCCCACTACATGAGCCCTGATCCGACGGCCTCACATTTTATATGCTTCCAAGTTTTATCTGTCCACGTTAGAATCCTCTTTAAACAAGACTGACACTTATTAATTTCTTACTATACATAAGAGAACATGTGTAGACCCACTATGAGCTATCTAGTTAGGTGAAATGCAATCTTACTAACAGTACTCCATATATTCTTTTTTGTGTGTGTGGGGATAGGGGATTAAACTCAGGGGCACTGAACCACTGAGGAACACCCCCCGCCCTATGTTGTATTTTATTTAGAGTCAGGGTTGCACTAAGTTGCTTGGTGCCTCGTTTTTTTGCTGAGGCTGGCTTTGAACTCTCCATCTTCCTGCCTCAGCCTCCTGAACAGCTGGAATTACAGGCATGCGCCATTGTGCCCCGTTCAATATGTTCTTTATAATGAAAAAATTAATTGCAACTTTCTATTCCAGCTGTTCAGCTCCCCATGAGGCACATGCAATGAGCACAGCCTTTGCCTCTGCCCAGACTCTGGCCCAGCTGTCACCCCTGCTGTCAAGAGCTCCCCAGTTGCGATACAGAGCTGCCAGCTCTCTGGAACCTCCTCAGGCCTCTGTGACTTCAGACAACGCTGGCCCCTTCCCTCATTATCCTTCTCACCAGACCCCACATGGCCTATTTCTTCTCATCTTTCAAGATATAGTCCAGGCAAGGCCACCTCCAGGAAGAATGTGCTCCCATGCCCACCAGTCCTCTCGCCCATCTGGTTCTCACTTGTGTCACCTCCCACTGGCGTGGAGGTTCACCTGCATTACCCTGCACACACTTGCTCCTCACATTTAAAAATAAACATATAAACTCAAAGTTGTATGAGCTGACACCTATGTTAAGAGGGATGCCATCCAATGCAAACATTGAGCCTGGCCTCTGCCCTTCCTTGGAACCCTCAGGCAGATACCTGGAACCACCCTCGCTCTCCTCTCTTCCTCACACTGTATCATCTACTTCCCTCATCTTCCAGACCTACCAGAATGTGGCCAGGCCCTCTGCTCATGCCACCAGACCTGCTTTGCCAGGCAGCCTCCGCTCTGCAGCTGGCCTGGGTTACTCTCCTAAGTCTGCTCTCCCACCAACTTGAGAATGATCCTCTGGGAACACCAGCTGCACGTCCACCATGCTAAACCCTGCCTTGGCCCCTTCCCACTCTGAGACCAAGCTGAGGTCTCACAAAGGCCTGGCCTTTGTTGTCCTTGAATGTACCAAGCAGCTCTGCTCAGCGCCGTCCCCACAGCCACAGCTCTTCCCTTTGAGGGTCCACCTCAGCTCTCTGCAGCTTTCCACCAAGCCACCTGGCAAGGTGCACACTTTTTTCTAACCCCCTCCTCCCGACCATGTAGCATAAGCTCCACCAGAGAGGGGCGCTGCCATTCCCTGCAGATCTCCTGGACCTGGCATGTAACAGGCTCAGAGGAACCTACTGACAAATGAACGAACCAATGTAAAAACTCAGAGCTCTGTGTCAGTAGACCTGTGATATAACTGTTAAAAAACCCAACTATTTAAAGTGAAAAAATTCTTTAAAGTCTGCTACACGTTGTCAAACAGCGACTTTCATTAGAAAGAGTTCAGACAACTGGCTGAAAATGGTTAGGGGTGATGAAAAGCAGCACATGTACCTTGAGAGGGTCTGCATTTGTTGTGTGGTTTGCTGGATGGTTTGCCCGGAGCGCTGGCTGGGGGAGGGTCGAACAGCTTGTCCTCCATTTTGGCCTCCTTCACGTACTGGCAGGACTTCCCCAACAGCACGATGCTATTAAGTATTTTCAGGGATATCAACCTAACAATGGAAACAAAACAAATGACCACTGTTAGAATTCATGGAAACACCACGCCTGCCATCTCCTATTGTTGCTAATAGGAAGGTGGTCCTGGTGAGAAGGGGTGGGCCTGTGAGCCAGGACCTAGCAGAGGACACAAGTTCTTCAACCAAAGCCCAGAGTCCCCAAGGCTTCTGTCACCAGGGAAAACTTTTGATAAAGTCCTTAGTTCTGTGCCATTAATCATTACCAGTTAGAAGTTTTACCACTATTAAGTAATTTAACATTTATTCTCTTACTACAAAACAAATACATTTAATACATGCAGATGAATAAGAAAGAAAATTGAAAAATAATGTCAATCTCTGTGGCATCTGGTACCCTGTCCTTCAGTGTTTGCTCTGGGCACACATCCTCTTATTCTTTCTCACCGTGCAGAAATGGGGCCCTCACAAAGCAGGAGGGGACTGGGAACCCCCAACAGGACCCAGAACACCAACATGGGGTCCAGCATCTGAATGGAGTCCTGCATGGACCAGAACTCTAGTTGGTGATTTCTGCTCACACAATTCTAACTAAGCAAAGGTTTTCAAGTATATATACATATGCTTCACTTCTAGTTTTGTTTATGTGGAAAAAAAAACCCACTAGAACAATTAACTTGTTAAACAAAGAGGAGAACAATTACAGCAAAACCACTTGATAAACTTGGCACAAGCTGACTCTGAGGGGTGATGAGAGAATCTGTATGAGAACAGGAGGATCTCATGCTTTTTAACGTCAAAAATCTGAAAAGAGTTAACTTAATAAAATAATATTGTCCCCTCCAAGACTCATGCTGAAATGCATTCCCATTATGAGCTATTATGTGGTGAGACCAGGGGATTAGGGCTCTGCTCTCTTGAATGGGTTAATGGGGTACCTCAAGAGGGAGTCTGCTATTAAAGCCACTTTGATTAGGTCTCATACTTGCTCCCAGTCTCTTGCCATGTGATGCCTGCATGGCCTCAGGACTCTGCCAGCAAGAAGGAATCATCAGATATGACCCCCGAAACTTGAACAAGAACTGTGTGACAAAATAAATCTCTTTTCTTTATAACTTACCCAGTCTGTGCTATCAGCAACAAAAAACAAACTAAGTAAAGCAGTTTTGTGTTCATTCAATAGTAAATGGTATGCAACCTGATCAGAATTATGTCTTGCTGTGGGCACCACCACCACCAGCCATTTAGCCTCAACCCAGATCTGTAGGGTGAGGGCCCAGATGGGCACTGTAGGTGCTGGCAAGCATATTTATTGCTCCAGGTGCATGGGGGAGAACTGTTTCCTGGCTGCTTTGACAGAGTGTCTTGTGTTGCACCTGCCACAGACCAGCAGTATGTGGGTAGCAGGCAAATGCAGAAAACACTCAAACTTGTAACTGAAACCTAGGGATGTCCCTGGAAACCAGACTTCATCCTCGATGAGGCCCTTTGGGGATCTATAGCTGAGATGATCTTGCTCTGCTTATTCACCCGCCCCCCACTCCTCTGGAGATGCTCAGATCTGAGCCCCCCAGACTAACACTCCTCAGCACTGGCTCCTATGCACCCTTCATAAACCAGGGTGGGGACAGGCTGCTCAGTTTTCTTTTTGAGTACTACACCCTGATCCCAGGCTAGGCTACTTGCATCATCGGTTCACTTCTTGAGAAAACCGACAGCGACAAAACTGCAATTTCATATTGTTATTTTCTTCTTACCTTTTATGACTTATCTTAAACAGTGTGAGTTTCACTTACTGTTTATCTTCCCCAACCAGAATATGAGCTACCTCAGACCAAGAGATCTACAGGTAAGGTTTAGCCAGCAGATGAGAAATGCCATTCCTGCTTCACTCCTGACCTCATCTGACACGGCGCTAGAGTGTGCTAATAGTTAAATGTGGCAATACAAAAAGGTCAAAGATGTTTTTAAACATGGAAAAAAGTCGGACTACAAAGGTTGACTTTTTTTCATAAAAGAAAATAGGGGGAAACATACTCTTAAGCAAAAAGGGCTTAGAGTAAGCCTCCACTGAAGAGTAAAATAAAATCTAAAGCACACAGAGAACAAACGCATGATGTGGGCATTACTCGCTTCCATTGTATCTTGCATTTATTTACACTTAAAATCATTTTCAGGAATAGGCCATCTTACCCAAAATAGAAGAGTATGACACAGGCATATGACAGGATTCCTTGCACTTTAATTGAGCTTGTTACAACTCTGATGAGCTAGCCAGAAACACAACAAAACACACAGAAAAAACACAGAAGGCTTATTAGTTAATGTTTAAATAGAAGATTTCAGCATGCTGATTTCAACCTGGTCGGCACATGCCTGTGGCCTTGGTCTAACTCCAAGGACAGCTTTAGATTTGCCAGTCCCTGTCAGGACCTGCCTGCACATGACAGCTTCTGGGGGACTCAGTTTTTTCAGGCAAGTCTGGGATGTGGAAAACTGTCACCGACTCTCTAAAGGCAGACCTTAACCTCGTGCACATGACTGACACCTCTGCTTGTACCTGACAGATACGCTGATCAGCTGATTTTTATAACTACTTCAGGAAAGCCTAAATGAATTCATCTTCTCACCCTGGTTGCTACCAGAACTGGATGGACCCATGTGGTGGGCACTTCCCTGTCTACCATCCTTAACTTCTTCAAGAATTCCCAATAACTTGCAGGGAGCATGGAGAAAAGGGAACCTTAGGAAGTTCATACTGTTCAAAAAATCTAAACACTATTAACAAATAAATTACTTAAAGGTTGGAAAAACTTCTCTTCTGGATAATTACAATTAAATACCTATTTTCTTACTTATCTGGCAGAAACACAGAAATAACAGCATTATCCTTGGAATTCTGATGAATAAATCTGGCTGCACCAGTCAAGAGGGAATGTTTACACATTTTAGATGTGCCCACAGATGAAGGCCCAGTGGGACGATTACATGGAAATTGAGAATCAGGAGAAAAACTGTGCTCATCCAGTAAAGTAGAGCTGTTGAATGGAAGGGTCTAGCAGGGTGTCTTAAATATCATCAACATATATTCTTAAAGATATTTTAAAAAACAGGATTAGTTAGGGGGAATGGATGTGTTCAATAAAGTTTCACTATGAGAAAACAATGGAAGCCCTCCCCTGTAACAGCCTCTAACAGGAAAATGACTGTTGCCATTTAGTCAATACATTCTGCAAAGTCAGGGAATCCACATTTACCCTCGCGACTGCAAATATCACGTTCCCAGTTGTAGAAAACAAATTAGAAAACATATTCTATTTTGTCAATCTCTTAAACTTTGACCCAATATTTTTTCTTTAAAATCTTCCATTTTTCTCAAATTCTAGGAGTTCCTTTTCCCAAGCAAAAACCTCCTGCTTTGTAATGGAATAACAAGCTATTTATGTAATTAAAAATATTTAGAATGTGGTTATCTGGAAAGTCACATTGACATTTAAGTAACATAAAATCTATTATTTAACCATCATCTGAAAAAGGATAGGCAAGCTGGTCTAAGATTCAGCTGGCTGCCCCACAATTTGCTGATACATTTATTTCCCAGTTGATTTGCCCAAGACTGTTTCTATAAGGGAACTTCAGATGCCTTTTGGCAAAAAGATGGTCAAGTTTGTTTTGATACAAGAACAGGTAGTCAAGAAGGAACATAATCAAATACAGGTGCAATCAGCAAATCTTAATTAACATTATAGTCCAATGTAGCTAGCAACTATTTACAAGACTGTGCTGAGAAGTTCATTAGAAGGATCAGAGGTGGCAACTTTTTTAGGGTTGATTTGAATTTCAGAACTACTTTTATTTTAAAAATGGTATTTCCTATGCATAACAGCAGGAATTTTCAATAAATTTTTTTTTAAAAAACTTTAGAAGTGGTGATTACAGCTGTGTGTGGTGGTGCATGCCTGCAATCCCAGTGGCTAGGGAGGCTAGGAAAGGAGAATCTTCAGTTCAAAGTCAGCCTCTGCAAAAGCAAGTGCTAAGCAACTCAGTGAGACCCTATTTAAATAAAATACAAAATGGGGCCGGGGATGTGGCTCAGTGGTCAGGTGCCCTTGAGTTTAATCCCGGTACAAAACAAAAACAAAAACAAAAAACAAACAAACAAAAAGAAGTGGTAGTTACAGCAGATACCAAATATGCCCTCATTGGGCACAATGTAGTTGGCTTCTAATGTTTTAATAACCTCAAATGCCATCGAAAGTGCTTAGCCTTGCCCATCAATCACTGCATGCCTTTCATAACTATCTCCTTAGGATAAATTCCTAGAACTAGAATAACTGCATCAAAGTTGAATACTGTCAAACTGCCCTCTAGTAATGTTGGATCAATTTATGTTGCAACCACTATGCATTCCAGTGGTCATGTCAACGTCCACCGCTAGAGATATCTGTTGAAAAAGAAAAATCTTTGCCAAAAGAATAAAAAAGAATATCCTCACTTTTAGAAAAGCCACTTATAAAAATAGTTCCTTTTTTACCACTTAATCTGAAAGAATAATGCCATTATTTAAAAAAAACCAACTTGTTTTCTTCCAAGTTGTTTAATTTTTAGATCCTATCCCTCTGAAGCAAACTTACTGATAATTTATTAATGTTATATAATGACGGCTATCTCATTTAAATACATACACACATACTGAACTTACTAAAACAGCCAGTGGGAGAGGAATAAAGCCCATCCTTCGTGCTACCGAGTCACTGTAGTCAGTGTACGCCTGCAGAGAAAGGAGAGGAGGGTTCAGATTCTCTGGAATTTAACCAGCATTTAAAAAGTACTGTTCACTCATCCCAGCAAATGTTATAAACAGGTGAGGCAATAGACAGGAAGAGAACCTAGTGCCTGTTCTGTAATTTAATAAGATGATGTGGAAATCTAATTGTTCACAAGAAGTTTTAAATGCAAAATTGTGTGTTACAGTGCTATAAAAATCATCCACTATGTAATATAAGCACTATTGCTGTGTAAATGCTTATGTACAGAACAGAGGTAAGCAGAAATGTAGTTTTCCTTTAACTAATACTTTGTGCTAAATTTAACCACTGTTGTTAAAGGGACTATGCCTTAGATAAAATGCTCACATTTTTCTGTCGGCTACTAACAAGGTCAAAAGCAAGGCTGGCTCTGTATTCACTGTAGACCTAAAGACAAATAAGAGAGAAATATTCAGTAATCTCATGAAAATATACCATGTGGAAAGATTTAGACTTTGTAAATAAAATGTTCAATAATTAACCAGGAACAGATGCTAATAACCAGACCTCTGAACACGAACTATTTGTCTTCCTGAAGTAAAGGTAAAACACAGCCTCAGTTTCCCCGAACTACTATATGCATAGGCTTTTTAAAGGTTTCTTTTCAAAAAGGAATAAATATTCAATGATTATGATCCAGAGAGTTTAGAATTTTGGGAAGTGAATATTTTAAAAGTAATGTATGTGTCAAAAAGAATTTTGAAATTTTAAATGAAATGAAGAGTTTAAAAAGTTATGATTGCTGAGTGTGGTGGAACATGCCTATAATCCCAAAGACTCAGGAGGCTGAGGCAAAAGGACTGCAAGTTTGAGGCCAGCCTCAGAAACTTAGTGAGATCCTGTCTCAAAATAAAAAAACAAAAAAAGGGAGGGCGGCTGGGGATGTGGCTTAGTGGTTAAGTGCCCTGGGTTTAATACCTGGTACAAAAAAAAAAAGTTATGATAATCACCTTCTTAGAAAAATGGATGCCAACATTAAGATAATATGTTAGGGAACAGAGTAGTGGCACAATTACAAGTGCAGTTACAAACTCGTTTCCACTAAAAATTGCACAAAATACCTGAAGCCTATTAAATTTGACTTCAGATGCAGAGAAAATGATCCTATGAAAATGGTATTACTCTCTACTGAGGCCAAGAAAGGAAATGGTAAAATCGCTTCATCAGTAAAAAATTTTCCTAACCATATTTTCTTCTAGTATATCAAATTCTTCAGAAACTCACAATCAAATCTTTGAACTGTAGCAACTGCATTCGATTTTGAGTCATTAAACAATAAGTGTCAGAGTAAAACTATAAATTAAAAGTACAACTCAATAAAATCCAGAAAACTATTAAATTAATACTCATTTAGGACAGAGCCAGGAATGTCTCAGGAATCTCTTCTATGGTTTACTATTTATCAATAAGCCTACAGCCCCTATTTCCAGAAATTCTACAGAGTATGACTGCAATGTAAAACAAATTCTTTGAAGTTTCATCAAGTACTTTCACAAGAAAAATATATGGTTTGAATTTAGGAACCAACTGATAATCACAGAAAAAAAATCAATTTTGGAATAGAAAATATTTTAAAAGCTACCCTGAGAGAAGTTCTGATGTCTTATTTTTAAAATAGACAGAAAATGATTTTAAAACTGAAGTGGACAGATAGTGACAGTGGTAACAGTTTATGAAGATTTTGAGTTGGTGACATCTGAGCTCAACTTCTAGCTGAGCTGCGCATTTCCAAAGCATGGAACTAGGGCTGTTCAATACTGAAGCAAAACCTTTCAGTAGTGTAATAATTTTTACAAGCTTAAAATTACAATATTAACTTTAAAGTAGTAGTCATATCCTATAATCTCCGTAAACACAATAAACCTAAATTCATTAAGAACTTCATAATATTAAGCAGTAAACTCTGAACACTGAATTGCTTACAGAAATACATACATCTGCAGTAATGTCATTGAACTTGGTGATAAAGGCATGCTTTACAATGTCCACAGCAATTTCTGAGGCAATCACCATACAGACATCTGGAAACAGCACCCAGAGATGATCTATACAGTACAGAGAAAAGACAGATAAGTACATCTCTTAATATGAGCAGAATCCAACTTAAAATCTCCACAGGGCAAAACTTAGTATTTCAGTTAAACCTTCATCAAAAAAACAACATTTTACCAATTTTAAGGGCAATTCATCCAACAAATAGTCACTCAGTATTTTCTGTGTTCCTAGCACTGCTTTGTCCGCGGGCCATGTTGCCTTTGAGGAGCTGACACCTGGGCATGACCAGGTTAGGCAGGTTCCTTGGAAAGCCTTTTAATTCTATAGTTACCTCAGTTGACAGTAAAGAGCTCACAGAGATACGCTGGAGTTAACTGAGCACATCTTTCCTTTTAGATCACTATGATTTAAAGATACTTAACGATCATTTATTTCACTGTCATATGGATGCAACTTCTTATTATCTGCTTACATTTATGATATTTACTAAAATATCAATTTAGTACTAAGTAGCTGATAAAAATAATACCCACAGATAACCTCCTAAGACCTGGAGGAAGGACTTAAGAGTGGGACAGAGCAAGAAAAGGATGGCTGGAAACGCTGGCGAAGACCTATGGAGACCAAGGACCTGGTGGCTGAAGCTGGCCACGCGCTGACGATGGACGCCAGGCACTGTTCTGAGTCTGGCATCATGGTGAGGCTCCGGAAACCAGGGGATCTCTTTCAACAAGAAACTCTGCAAGTTTCTTCTTCTTTATTTTCTGCAGGTCTGGTGACATCTGAACTCAGCTGCGCTGAACACTTCCAAAGCATGGAACTAGGGCTGTTCAATACTGAACAGAGGCCTGTACTACTGACACACATCCCCAGCCATTTTTATTTTTGAGACAAGGTTTCTCTAGGTTGCTGGGCAAGCATTGAACTTGTGATCTTCCTGCCTCATCCTGAGTAGCTGAGTTCACAGACATGGGCCACAGTACCCAGTTGTTTTTAATTATATTTGTTCCAATTCCCTGATCTACAAAATAAGGATATTAGAAGATGTTTACATTCCATTATTATGAGAATTAAATAAGATTAGAGTATATAGCAATGTTCCTGGCACACAAAATAGCTTGTTATTTTTTGGTTATTAATTATCCTGGGCACTTAGAAAAAGCTTCTACAAATGGTATTTTGGTTTTAAAAAAAAGCTAAAATAAAAGTAAAATGAAGGATCCACCAATAAGCACAGTGTCCCTTTGATCATTTTATCTTCACAGTACCAATGAAAGAAACTTAAGATAACCCATTGAAAGTCACAGTACAAATGCGAACATTACTTTGCACACAGAGGTGTTAAGCTTGAGTATTTGTCCTTTTGTGTAACAACTCTGTTCTGGGATTAATGACCCCACCTGGGGTCCGTGGGCTATACATACCCACTCTGTCTCATGAATACTGCTGGCTGACCTACTGATACTACCATTCATTAAAAGATTCCAGGTACACAAAGAATGTGTGTGTGTATGTGTGTGTATATGTGTGTGTGTGTGTGTGTGTGTGTAGGACATTCCCTGCCACAAATTACGTGGCTTTTGGGTATATTTAGATTAGAATGCATACCATTTAATATCTATCATTTGAGGGGCTGGGAATATGGCTCAGTGGTAGAGCGTGCAAATAGCACATATGAGGCCCTGGGTTCAGTCCTCAGCACCACATAAAATAAATAAAATAAAGGTATTGTGTCCAACTACAACTAAAAAATAAATATTAGAAAAATATTTTAAAAAATCTATCATTTGATGTTATAGTTTCTTTAAGAATGTAACTTCTGGAAATTTATTTCCAAGATCAAATGTATATTTCATTTTGTATTTCTTTCTGATTTTTCAAAGGTACCTGGAAATAAGCAATGAAGTAAAATAAATTAATAAAAGGTATTGGATGCCTAGAACATCCATGATATTGGGAGTGATAAAAAGAATGCAAAGCATGGCCAGCATCGTTAAAAACTGTTTTTTTTTTTTTTGCAGCACTGGGGGGAAAAATTCTAAATTACTTGAGATATCTGATTGTTTCCCACCCAGCCCACTTCAGTATCGTAACAGTCTATTCTTTCTCCCCTACCTGAGTACGGCATTAAATGTCTTAGCACTTCTGATATTTGCCACAGTCCCTTGCCTTGTGCCTGGCCCTCTGCACCTGCTTGGATAGTGTCTGCTGAAGAAGGGTGAGAATTCATGGACTGTGATAACTTCCTGTGAGCCTGAATTCAGAGATACATGAGGAACAAAAATCTAGTGCTTTACATTATAATTTTTTATCCCTATTTGGCCTAAAAATTAATAGTGAACAGGTAAAACACAAACATTAAGGAAGAGCACAGAATCCTCCAGTCAACTGTGAAAATGTCAGTGTGCAGGTAACCACAGCTGAGTGAGGCCCAGGGCTGACTTCAGAGCAGAGTCTGCTCATCCACCACTATGCAGCTCCAGAGTCAGAAAAGATAGAATCCAACCACACCAGAAATCCCTCCAAAATTCTCTGTAGTATTAATTTTATTCCATGTGAAAGAAAGATGTTGGTTTAAGAGTAAAATCACAAAACACTAAATTTGGTAAGAGCTACTTACCTGGATTCCAAGAAAACTGCTCCATGTTCCTTAAACATACTATCAGCAAAAGCACATAATTTGTGAATCGTTCCTTGATATCTGAAAAACGAAAACAAACATAAGTACTATAATTCATATAGATAATAACAGTACATATGTAAAATAGTTCTGTCAAAATATGATGAAATTATTATGCTACATACAACTGTCTGCAAAACAAACAAAAAAACCAAAAATGAATCACAGAATCTGTGAGGCACTGGTTCCAGGAACCTGTATTTACAAAATCCAAGAGGCTCAAGTCCCTTATATAATAACAGTATAGTATTTGCATATAACCTACTCCTTTCATATACTTATGTAAATGCTCTGTGAATATTTACACTGTATTATTTAGGGAATAACTACAAGAAATAAAACCTATAATATTCCGACCAGATGTCATTTTTTGTTGCAGAATATTTTTAATCTGTGATTGGCTGAAACCTTGAGTGTAAAACTCAAATATTGAGGGATGACTATACAATACACACACACACACACACACACACACACACACAATGATGCAAAATTGATAAGCATTTATTTCTTTTGGCAAGATAATTCTTGTCTAAAAATTCAAGTTTTCTTTTTTTTTAACCTTTATTTTATTTATATGTGGTGCTGAAACTCAAACCCAGTGCCTCACACATGCTAGGTAAGCGCTCTACCACTGAGCTACAACCCAACCCAGAAATTCTGTGGCCAGAAACAAAGCAGCCCACTTGAAAAGCTCTAGTATATCCTTTAGTCATTTCCATCTATTCTGCCACCTTAGCAACACTGTACTCTGTATTTCAATTCCAATTTCATGGCCTGTCATTGGTGCCCTTTTCTTCCATAGCAAAACTCTGGGCTCTGGCCATTACTATCTGTGTCTTCCCTAAATCCTCAGAGTCTTCAGGAGGTTGCTGAGGCCTTCCTTTGCAGAGTAGCTCAGTTCTTTGAGATGGGCTGGAGTTGCACCTCTATTGCCTTGAAGCCAGTGGGCACAGACTGCTGTTCTCTTTAGGAATTCTAGTGTTGTTCTTTATGTGATACCATGTTCTGGGTGTAAGCTCAGAGCAGTGAGTCTCAAGGTGCAGAGCATAGATATGGCTCTCAAAAGGCAGGATACAAATAGAAGGAAGCACATATGAGGTTTTTAAGTATGTGAGTTTTGGCTAGTTCTAGATCAACACATCCAATTTATTTTGTAATTTCAAAGGGGACATAGGTTTAACTAAAGTTTGCCCTAGAATAATTGCTATCAAAGTGTGACACAAAATATATTCTTTGTCATTTAACTACAGTTAATTTTAGATTTTTAATTCATGGGATTAAATTTCTCAAAGGTACATTGGAATTCTGTACAATTAACTATTTACAAAGTTGTCACTACCTATGTGCTATAAGGCCTTTCTAATTTTCATAAACAATATTAACAAAGAAATTTATTTATTTTTGACCTGTAGGATATGGCTTATCACATAATTCTCTGGAAAGAAACTGCCTTGAGAAATTTAGAACATCATTTGAAACAACCCAAAGGAACTTTTATGAACTCTAATAAAATAAAGCAAAAACAAGAACAACATTTAAATTAATTACATCTGATTCTTGAACACATCATACTACTGACATGGAGAAAATGTGCAATCATTCCAATTCTAAGCATGCTGATGAAAGGACAAAACACATCTTACTAGGGGGATACTTAAGACAAAAATGATTTTAGAAAAGCATATTTCAAAATATGATAGACTTATAAAATTCTGGTAGACAAATGTGATTTTATAAAATGAAGAATATGCACGATGTTAAGTTTAAAGATTAAAAAGGAAAGTACCACCATAAATAAGTATATTTTGATTTCAAGAACTCATTTATTGTGCACAGCTCAAATGTTTTTTAAAAAGTTTTTGTTTGTAATAAAATCTTATATAAACAATGAAATGAAAATATATTTATATACCATCTCATTTCCAGAACAGTAAGGTTTTCAATAAGATTAAACTTATATAGATTAAAAATCACAGCTTCTATAATGGGAATGTTTTCTCTTGCCCTTTACCAAGGAACTTAAAGCAGTGGTAAGCAACCCTTTTAGGACATCCCTGACATTCTAATCAGGTAGCTCCTTTGCCCGCTCAAGTACCACCAACAGATACACATCAACACACTTAGAGCTGCAGTCCAAATGGGAAATGAGTGACTACCCCTCCCCACAACAGCCTTCAAACTGATGGCAGGCTTCCAGGCTTGTTAAGAGGATTAACTCTCCTGAAGGATCATTCTGAATGCAGTTCACTATTAATAGGCAAAATTTTTCATTTTAGGCTTTCAAATGGAAAAGCCCTAGGTCCCACATTCAGTTGGTGCTTAAAATGAAGTGAGAAAAAGGATTAACTGTTAAAAGTCTGGTTTTATTAATTAAACTCAATTTCACTTGTCCTCAGACAATTCCTATAAAGAAGATGTATGTTCAGCTAATGTTGGAGGAATAAAGTCATTTTAAAACTCCCAAAGTCTTCTACATTAACCTAGGGTAAGAGACAGAACCTTATGCTACATATTTGGTAGCTCAACTTCTCAGGGAGAAAAAAATAAATCACAGGAAAATGCATACACAAAGATACAGTGCTGGGCACACCTTGTGGTGTGGCCATGACCTAGTGCAGAGAGGGCAAGAGCTGCAAAGGGAGACTCCTCATCCTCCCCTTTAACACCTAGTACTATTTGCAGTATTAGCATGACTGCCTAGGGCAGATTCTTGGGGTTTTAAAACTACCTTAGTATAAAGTTAATTTCTTATAAGAAATGAAGGAGTACAATGCAGATACTTTGTACTATAACATTAAGTATTTTATTTAACAATAAAAAGCAAAACTTTTTGGTCCTAATTACTAACCATTTTAATCTGTAATAAACTCCTGAATTTTTTCTGAGCTGATATGCATACCTGAACAACATGTCAATTTTTTTTCAGAATTTAAAAAAAATGAAGTATTGAATTTCTAATCTCTCTATGCTAAAAGGTTGTAATTTGGGGGATCTGTTTATGAAAGAGAGGAAAGAGATACTAATGATACAAAATGCTAGTGGCCAGATTTAAAAACCATTCACAATTTCCCTATAATTTTAAAGCCCAGATATATGATGACTGAAATCTTTTAAAACTTAAAATCTGGGCTGGGGATGTGGCTCTAGCGGTAGTGCGCTCGCCTGGCATGCGTGCGGCCCAGGTTCGATCCTCAGCACCACATACAAACAACAATGTTGTATCCACCGAGAAATGGAAAATAAATATTAAAAAAAAATTCTCTCTCTCTCTCTCTTTAAAAAAAAAAACTTAAAATCTATGTCTATAAAGGGCACACACTCAAAGCAGGCTATTGATATAAATTAATAAAAACATAATTTCTGCAAAAAATAAACTTCTTACAGTTCAATCAATATGTACTATGGTTAACTATAAGCTACTAATCTGACAAAAAATGCCTCCCTTGAGCAGCCTCCTTCTCCTTCCCTTTCATTCAGAGTCACAGCACTTGGCCCCACACGTGAAAGGAAAAAAACATGAACATAGAGACAGCACCTTCTGCGCTCAGAGCTCTGAGGGCTAAGGCTCATTGTGGTCCATGAAATCATCTGGACTTGTTAGTTTTCCATTTGCTCTTGTGATTCCTTGCCTAATTTTCTCCTACAGTGCTAAACATTTTTTTTTTGCTTTATTATCTTCATCTGCTATTATTTTCCTTATCAAGAGGCAAAATTACATAGTGAAATACAGATCTTAAGTATACAATTTGCTGAGTTTTGAAAATGCTTAATCTGTGTTGCCAATCTTCTAATAAATATGCCAAAGAGTTCTCTTACCCAGAAAATTCCCTTATACTCCGGGATCAGTGCCTGTTCCCAATCAGAAGCCAGTCTTATTTCTATCATAAACTAACTGTATCCGATCATAAACCTCAAATAAATGAAATCCAATAGTATGTACTGTGTGTGTGTCTGGTTTTATTTTCCTGAACACAATGTTTTTGAGATAGACATAATAGGATGTATAATTAGTTCACATTTTTTCTTTCATTGTTGAGTAGTATTCTATGGTCTATTTTCCTATTAATAGACATTTCAGGTTTTGGCTATTGTGAATAAAGCTGCCATAATAGTTTGCAATGCTGAATTACAGCATTGCTGTTTAACTATATCAAGAAAGAAACTGCAAAGAAATTTTCCAGAGCAGTTGTAGTATTTTACATCCACACCACACTGCCTGAGTGTGTCAGGTAATCCATGTCCTCATTAACTGCAGGCACTGTCTGGACACCAGGGATCCTGGTGGGTGTGCTATGATCCCTCCAATGGCTTTCCTTTGCCTTTCCCTGGTGATGTTTTTTCTAATAATGCTAAATACCTTTTCATGGGCTTCTTGGCCATTCATACATCTTTTACAAAATGTCTGATCTAGTCTTTTGCCCATTTTAAAATTATTTTTTCATAACTGATTGGTAGAATTTGTAATATATTCAGGAAATAAAAAATACGGTTTGCTGTATAGATATCACTCTTTCAATAGTTTTTCATTTTCTTAATTTTTTTTCCCTGGTACTGGAGTTAACTCAGGCACTTTACCACTGAACCACATCCCTAGCACTGCTCCTATCCCATTTTTTCTGATTTTGAGATAGGGTCTTGCTAAATTGCTGAGGCTGGTCTTAACTTGCAGTCCTTCTGCCTTAGCATCCAAGTCACTGGAATTACAGTTGTGTGCTACAATGCCTGGAATTTTTTCTTAATTTTTTAATTGCGTGTAAGTCTTTAAAGCTCAATTTATTTCTTCATATGGTTAGTGCTTTTTGTGCATCCTCTAAAAATGTTTGTCTACACAAAGATTGTGAATATATTCTCCTAGATTCTGTTTTAGTGTTGATAATGTTCTAATGTTTTATAGCAAAAAACCATATTAAATTAACTTTTTTAGGAGGGGGTAGGGTCAAAAATGTTTTTTAACCTTTATCCAAATCAGCTATATTTATGGCAGTCAACCACTTTGAATCAATTTTAATTAGAACTGCAATAGAATCTAATTGTACATACCACTATTTGACATTTGAAAGAGATTGTTCTTTTCAAACTTCTTGAAAACACTTCCTTTAATTTCAACAAACTGAAATGGAAAACAGAAATATCTTTAACATTGTAATAGTTTCAAAAATCGATTTGCTATATATAAACACTTCCTGGAGAATAAATATTATACAGAACAAAAAACTTCATTTCATCTACAGTATCACCCCACAGTACTTTATAATCCCAAATGTAAAGCAGAACCTCATACTTACGTTATTAGACATCATGATAGTGAGCAGAGACTTGTTGTGTGAGTTAAAAGCTACATTTAGCGTTGTTGCCTGAACCATTATGAGAATCGCATGCAAAACTAATGGAATGTCAAGGAAAAACCCAAAATTTATTTCCAAATTATTGACAGATAACACTAGAAAATTCTGAAAGTGAATAATGGAGAAATGACCATGCTTCCTAAACCAAATATATGTATTTTATTGTCTTCATAATTCCCCTGTCAGTTGCACTTGACAAAAATTTGATAAGAGAAAAGGAATGCAATCCACATGAAAGAAGCCAAAGCAGAAAGGAGTTTCTGTGCATCCGTTTACTTAGACCCCAGTCCTCCTAACCAGTATGGTTCTGCTTTTTCTTCATCCCTGGAACGTGGCACAATGCTTGTGAAACATAACCTCAAAACAGCTGGAAAAATAAATGGAATAAATTATCATAAATACTGAAAGAAGAGACTTAGGAATATACATTCTGAATTAAGGTAATTTGAATTTAATAAGAAAAGAACATAAAAGCTGGTCTGGAAGTCCAGAAAAAAAAAAAGTCTTCTCTTTTCTTCAGGTAACATGGATTGTTAAGATAGCAAGAAATGTCTAAAAATTAATATGTTTTTCATCTGTCATGCAGAATTCATATTACATATGAAACAGTTAATACGTTATCTAAAATGGTAACTGCTTTACTCCACTAAAGCTGGAACAAGTTTCTGCCCTAACAGGTATCTTTCCACTTAGCCCTTAACTTCTCAAATATGAACCCAATTTCTTCTAAGTGTCACTAAGAAACACTGTGAGTGAGTCCTAACTTCACATGGAATTCCAGAGTAGGCATGCTTGGTGCGTGAATATGTGTGGGTACATGCACACACACAGACTTTAAACCAGGGATACACACACACACACACACACACACACACACACACACACACACACATTCTTATAAAGAATTCATGCCATAAAGAATATTACTCAGCCATAAAGAAGAATGAAATTATGGCACTTGCTGGTAAATGAATGGAACTGGAGACTATCATGCTACGTGAAATAAGCCAACCTCAAAATCCAAATGTTCTCTCTGATATACAGATGCTGACTCGCAATAGGTGGGGTAGGGAAGGAGGGAGAAGGGGAGGCTCACTGACTGCAGAAGATAGAATGGGGGAAGGAAGAGGGGATGGGAATGTGAAAGACAGTAGAATGAATCAAACATAACTTTCCTATGTTCATATATGAGTACATGAACAGTGTAACTCTACATCACGTACAACCACAAAAATGGAACGTTATACTTCACGTATGTATGATATGTCAAAATGCATTATACTCTCATGTATAACTAAAAAGAACAAATAAAAAATAAAATTAAAAAAAAAAAAAAGAATTCACAGACTTAAAGATAATGCCAACAGCCAGGGCTGGTGGTGCTCTCCTGCAATCCCTATGACTGGAGGCTGAAGCAGAACGATGGCAAGTTAGAAGTCAGCCTCAGCAATTCAGTGAGATCCTGTCTCAAAATAAAAAATAAAAAGAAGTGGGGATGTGGTTCAGTGGCACAGCACCCCTGGATTCAGTTATACCACGAACAGTAATTTTCCAAAAGTTCAAAGGGTTGTTGTAAACATGAGGCTCTTTAAACTCATTTCCAATTTCTCAAAAGGAGGCAGGTATTTCAACTTAATCTTCTGGATACACACATACATCTTTAAATCTATGAAACAACAATCCAAAAAAAAAAAAAAGGTAGAAAACATGCTGACTGCTGGAATTTTCAACAAATTTGAAAGGATACAGACATAAAGAACAGCCATGAAAAAATGAGGGATCACCCCGATGTGGGCTCTCTTTCTCTCCTTAGGCTCAGTTGCTGTCCAGTAGAGGGCATCCAGGATATCTTGTCCAAATGATGAAAACAGGCGGTCAGCAACCTACAGAGAAATGGCGAAAGACACTTCTTCACATGCCCTAAAACATGGTACAATTCAGTGTCCCGAATCATCTGTGGGCTGTACGTGGGTCACCGCGCATAGAAGTTGATGAATAGAGACATCTGGTGTCTGGGAATGGTCAGTGGACATTTCCTCTGGTCAATTGCCCAGGGACAATGTGAATCTCTTTCCTACTTTGCCATGGCCCTCACAGCACCCGAGATGGGTGTGACCTGCCAAGATGTCAATCAATCTGCAAGAGATTACAAAGCAAGACTCCACCCTTGAAACCTTATCCCTGCCTTAAATAAACCACTTATCCCCTTAAATAAACCACTAAAAATATTTTCCTTTTGTCTAGTTCCAGAAACCATGTGGACTAGATCTATCAGGGGCTTTGTAGTCTGTAAATATATTTCTGAGTATATGTGTTTTGTTACTTGCTAATTACCTGAGATTGTAGGTGGCTTGGATTCCTCTGGGCAGAAAGAACCTCACAAAGAGACATTGGCCATCATCCTCTGCCCTGAAAATTCAGATGCAACTCGAATACTCAAGACCTGCCTAATATTTTTTTAAATACTAGTACTAGGTAAAGTAAAGAAAGGGGATCTTTATTTACTTATTCATTCATAATTCTTTATTCTCTGGCACATAGTAAGTACTCAAATATTTTTAGGATTTGAATTAGAATTTGTCAATTTGCTGTTAACAACAAGAAAAGTCTTATATTAGTGTCAATAATGAAAGTGGAGAGGCACATCAAAATCGTGGTGCCCCTGGTTTTAGCACTTTAAACTCAGCTTCAAACTTAAATTTAAGGACAAATATATCAGCTGACTCACTCTATGCACACCTAATATTTGTAAACAATGCAGTTGTATTTTGCTTGACATTTACTATATGGAATTTAAAATCTACAGATTTACTTCCTAAAGACATTTCAGGTACTGATCTCCTTGAACTCAGTGTTAACACAGATACATGAGAAGAGGGAAGAACGGTATCATGCCACCTGGGAGTCAGCCAAGTGCCACCTCCCACAAGAGGCCCTTTCCAGACCGCCCCATCTTCTTGTGGCCCCCACGACCTCACGCATTACCTTGGTCTTTCTCATCAGTTTCATCTTCATGGTTTTCTTGTTCACTGGCTCTCTCCCACCATACAGCAAAAGCTCCAGAGAACAGGCTCTGCCCACCCCCATCTGAGAGGCCTAAGACTGCACAGCATGCAGGCCCTGCAGTTGAAAGTACTTGCTGACAAACACTCCCTCAGGAGCTCTGACCACATGCCAAACTCTATGCTAAACTCTTTGTATTGTCTCATCCAGTCCCATAACTTCACTAATATCTCTACTCTACAGATGAAAAGTTGATTATAGATAATTGGCAATCAGTAACCAAGCCCAGAATAACCAGGTAGTAAGAGAAAGCATCAGGAATAGATCAAGAGGGAGTCTGTCTCTAGACCTAGAACCTGGACTCTTACCTGCTACACTTAAACCATATCATCAGATAAAGTTACAAAATTAACTATTTAAGCCATTTAAATTGGCAATTTGTGCATCCTGTTCCCTGACTCACTTTCTAATAACAGCAACAACACTACCCTGGAGAGGGCTCTGTTGAGTGAGGAGATGCACACATGAAGTTTGGTGGCAGGAGAAGCCCTTATGCCCTGCAGTCCCTATGAGGCTGGGCAGTATAGGAGGTCAGCAGGGCACTGGCAGGAGAGCAGCTCAGCAGCAGCAGAAGAAGGGCAAGGCTCAGGCCTATGTTTCCATGAGAGGGTGGGGAGAGGCTGGGCAGCCCTGCTTCACAGACTTCACTCATACCCAGCTTTCAGCAACCTTTGCCCCTGAGGGGGCAAAGCAAGTGCACAGGAACCAGCCTACAAACAGGAAGCTGGGTGTACACAAGGACAGCTAGGCTTCCATGGCTTCTGGAGAGAGATGGGAAGCCCTCACTTACGTAGTAAGCCACCAGGAAGGCCTGCTGCCCCATGTCACTCCACCTGTCCATTTGTCAGGGGAAATGTCCTCATAGTAAGTTAAAAGACAGACCTTACAATGGTCTAAAAACCCCAGGTGGCTAGAGATGTAGGTAAGTGGCAGAGCATGTGAAACCCTGGATCCCCAGCACCACTGAAGAAAACAAAAGGTATAGGAAAATGTAACTTAAATTTCAAAATTATTATATAATCTAGTATAGCTATTTTTAAAAAACTGATTAAGAGTCTGACTACAAAACAAAGTAATTTTTTGTAAAGTAAATGTGTAACAGCAACATTTTTGTTATAAATGTAATTTTTTACTTTAAACTGTATAAAGTGAAATATCTTTTGTATTAAAAATATGAAGTTTTTACAGAAATTGGAAAACTATAAATTTCAAAGCAATTTAAAGTGTAAATCAAGTAGAGCAAAAATATATATAATCACAGAATTTATTTATAGTCTTTAAAAAGTTCTAGTAAAAAAACATAACATGGATATCCAATGAACTTGCAGAACAAATTTCCCTGGCTTTTGACAGTGTACATTCTCTAAGGGTGCTCAGAAACATCCACAGTAGGAAAATTCCTGCACGCTGGAGGATACATCACACCCGAGCCTGCTGCCCCAAATGTGTCACACAGCCAGCAGCCCAGGCATCCTCTCATTAGAAGCACAGATTCTCCAGGCCCACCCTAGATCTACCAAAGCAGAATTACAATTTAACAGAGCCCCAAGCGACTATCACATGTTAAAGGCCAGAAGCACCTTTACTAGACTCTCAGGCACATTCTACACTGGGAGACTTGAGTCATGTGCAGTGGCCACGCCTGTGCAGACAGCACGCTAGACTGACCCTGCAGGGTCACAAGCACTCTCACCTCAAGCATGTTGTAGATGATGTAGAGCTTGATGACAGACTGCCCCCTTATCAGGTGGTACATCATAGAGTAGTCGACATAGTGCATCATGAAATAACAGATCACCAAAATGACGCCCTTCAAAATGTCACACACCTGGGCTGGCTGAAGCAAACGTCTGTCCCTGAAACATACAAGAAGTAATGAAATATGAATCTTACTTTATGTGTTCTCAAAATACACAATCTTTACTGGACATATACTAGCAAAGGCAATGAGAATTAGGCTGACCTTTTAAAAACTTCAAGCTCACAAGGAAAGTCATACTAAATGACTACCTGACAGTATAAATTTTTCTGCCTACAGAATACAAAGATGTTAAGCCAGAATTACAATGAGAAGTTAGGAGTCTTCTTCACAAGTGAACAGAAGGCAGGTATCTGCTGACAGAGAGCCTTTAAGCAACCGTTTTCTATGATGACATAAGCCTTCCACTTACTGAAGCACCACCCTGCTGGGCCAGCCCTCTCTACAATGTGAGCATTCTGTGCGCACCAGTCTGCACCTTGTACTTTTTATTCAAAAGCATAACAGGTTTCTCCATTTCAGTTCACAAGGAACTCCTATTTCCACAGCAGCACAGCGTTCCCCAGGCAGATATACTATCACTTATTTAACACACCCTTAAAAGATTTCCAATCTTTCCCAAGACAAACTATGGCATAATGTACATATCATGTCTCATAGATACATCTAAATATATTCTTGAAGCTGGAGTTTTAGGGTTACATTCACTTGATATTTTGATAGAATCAGATGACGTGCCCTCTGTGGGGTGTGCCCATGTACTCCTCTGCTGTCGATGTGAGGAGGAAGCCTATAGTCTGTGTGCATCCAACAGTGTGTGACAGGCTTCTGAGTCTGCCAATCTCGGGGGTGAAAAACAGTATCCAGTGTAGTTTCAAAGTTAATTTCTCCTAGTAGGAGAATGAACATCATTTATATAGAGTTATTTACCTTGCCTGTGAATTCTTTACTATTTTTTTGTACTAGTTTATAGGGCAGTTCTTATACTAAGGAAGTTCTCTGTGATGTGAATTGAAATTAATTATGAAACTTTTCATAATTAATGAGAATAATCACTTTTTAATTCTCGGGTTAGAGTATGAAAATCTAAACTTAACCTAACATGTCCAAGTAAAACATTTAAATAAGACAGAACAAAACATAAATTAAAAAAAGAGATTTAAGGTCTCTTTCACTGGAAAAAGAATTCCCTCTGACGAGGGTGGGAAAGATACTTTCTCCATGTCTACTGTAGGCTTATTCCTCAAGATGAAAGATTCCTCGGACTCCCTTATTGGCAGCTTTTATTGTATAGTACACTCAATAAAAAGGCCTGAGTATTTCCCTCAGTAGCTGCACAGCCTTTTATTTCTAATTTTGGCAACATTCCAAGCAACAATACCAACCAGGGTGAGCTAATTTATTGATCAGTCTCTGGCCTCTGAACCACCTGATTACAACTTGGCATTCCTTGCTACCTGCACTCTGGGGCTCTTTCCTAACCGCTGTCCACCTCCACACCAGGGGCTCTTTCTTAAGTGTTGGCGAGGAATCTTTAAATCTTCCAAACTATCACCTGGAATACTGCTTTACAAGACCATGTGATGGGTTCCAATTCGGTGAGTAGTTGTTACAGAACCTGTTTTCTACAATGTGAACTAAAGTTAAGAATGACCTTGGCTGATCTGTTTACATACAAAACATGGGATACTGCAAGTCCTGAAGAGGTGCAAATTCAAGATGGGTTACAAGTGGCTAGGAAGACATTCCAATGAGCCTACATGGGAGAAGGGTCAGAATGTGTCAGCTCACACATCTTCAAACCGGCATGAGAAACCTAGTGAGATGATTCCTGGTAGTCAAAGTCGGGGCCCTGGGTAAAAGCACATCAAGGACACTGAATCAATCCTTGTTATAGATTGGGATACCTAGGCCATACCCTTTCTTTTCCCCGATGTTGCCCCTTTCTTCCACACAGATTCCAACCCTTGTTGTCTTGTAGACCCCCAAATGAACTCCATCTCCCATATTCTACATACCCAGCCCAGAGCATAGATCTCTGCCAAGGGTTACCTGATAGCTCAGGGAATTTCCTGCCCCTACCCACACAAGACTGAGAAAGAAAGAGCTACTTCTGTCCAGAGTAAACACATTTTTAGTTCAAACACTGAGAGAAGGAGAACTGTGAACACTCTTAAGTTCCCTGGCTCATGTGTGGCCATCTCCACTCTGATGGCCAGGAGACGAAGTGAGAGGTGTCAGTGCAGATGGCACCCAGACCTCCTCAGAAATGCCTGTGCTGCTCCTCCTGTGACTCATGCACGGCTCAGCACATGCTGCTCAGCACATGGCAGCAAGCGTAAGGCCTTTGGATTTAAGGACTACAGGTCTTATGTTATAATTAAGAAAATGGTGGGAACTAAAAGTAGGCTAATATTATTTAAATTTCACTGATGACCAAAATGATTTTGTTTACTAACCAAAGTAGAAAACTACAGTTAGATAGAAGTCTCTTTTGGTATATGCCCAATTGCATTTTTTAAATAAACATATTTGCAACAAAGAAACAATTTGGTAGCATATCTAAGAAGGAAGATCATTGGTAAAACTGAGATCTACCAAATATTGGAAATATATATCAAAATAATTTAAAACCACACTTTTTGAAACAAGATAAGTTAAAATTAAGAGTAAACAACTTTAATTTAGTTTTATCTTACCCAGGATTAAACCAGGCTGTCAAGACAAAAGAAATGCTACAGTTCAGTTACGACAGGGCACGCACCATTGCAGGCACTCCGCAGAGACCCCTGTGAGTGCTCACAACAGTCCACCACTATCCCAGTTATACAGATGGGTCAGAGGCAACAGAGCAGATGCTTGTGGCTCACAGTGAACAGGGTGCTCTGTGGTGGGGCAGGGCCAGAAGCTTGGCAGCCCGGTCCTAGAAGGCATGCTCTTCAGAACCATCTATATTCACAACTTTTTACAAAAGAACTTTTAAGCTTATAGGAACCAACAACTCAGTGCTTTCTCTCTCACTAAAATTTAACACTATGCAACTTAACCATCTGAAAAACTGATATACCTCTCATTTTATTCTTTATTTCTAAAAATACAGGTAAAAACCTAAGATGATGTGTTTCCACTCAAACTCCTTGCTCTAAAGAAAATCTTCCACTGCTAACACTGTAACTGGCTGCTATAGAGATGACCATGATTTTCAAAATTAAAGAATAGTATTCAAATAAAGAACAAAAGAAGTAGAACCCTTAGGAAACAAGGGTCTTGTTTCCATCCAAATATCCTGGTTAATGAAATGGAAAAGTTGCAAAAATAAAACACTGTTTCTAGGTGGCCTTTTAAGATACCTATATGTATCATAGCCTAATAAGAAACCTGACTTCACAAATAAGTTTACTAAGTTACAACTTAAACCAATCACAGTATTTGTTCCTTCTTTGCCAAGATATTTTTAGATGACTATCTGGAAACATTTCAAACCCTGTAAGAAGCTTATCTATAGCCCTGCCAATCAACTTGGAATTGGTCTTTGAGTACTGCAGGCTAACCAACGTTTTTTGTTATAAATGGCTGTTAAATGGTATTTACTGGCAATTCCTTTTGCAAATATAGAAAATCCTAAGTGAAACATGTTAGGCAAAGTAAAACTCACTAATCTAATTTATGGGTTTGGCTGCACCTAATCAAGCAACATTAATAAGTTGTTCACCAGAACCTTAAAACATTTTCAAAATAAAGACATTCAATAGAAGTTTAATTTTCTATGTTCCTAATTTTTGCCTTTTATTCCTACAATACTTCTATTGCTCTCTTACTAATTATTACAATTTACCATTTTATATTGCAGAATTTACCATCTTAAACACCTCCAGTTGTTGTGGAGGGCTCAGAGGTATATGGTGACAAAGCTACATGTGGAGAAGATGATTTAGGTCAGGCTGTTCCTCCCTCTCTAGAGTCTACTACTAAAGTAACACTGGTAATGGATGGAAAGATCAAGAAGGAAGAGGCAGTGACAAAAATGAGCAAGGAGAATGGGAGAATCCTATTAATTTAAATCATTGTTGAAATAGGCCAGGCTATCAGCATGAGTTATTCCATTATAAAATACACAAACTGGATCTTCCCTTTCAACATTTCAAAACATTTGTGGTATAATTGAAGAAGTGAAGAAATATAAGACCTGTTAAAATAAAAAATCTAAAATATTTAAAATGGTTCATATTTTTGAAAGATAAGTCCCTTTATAATTTTAAAGTAAATTGGAATAAAGTACTAGGAACAAGATGTTTCCCTTAACTAGGAAACTGAGTTATTGTCAATATTAAGCATGACTGATATATAGGATTACTCAGCACTTTCACTGAATGATTAAAATCTGTATTTGGACCTTAAAATAATTTCAACCTATATTAGAAAACAATAATGGATTTTATAAAGCTATGTTCAATAATTTGAAGTAATGTAAAACAAAGTGTTTACATGGAAGCCCTGAAGGTGTGTCACCCACTCTGGTGTTGGGGATGAAGGTATCTGCTGTCCAAACTAGATCAGCATGTGCAATTAAGAGCGTTTCACCACGCAATTTTCATGTTGGGAGAAATTATGGTCAAATTCTTCATTAACAAACATGTCAAAGCTATAAGACCAAGTAAGGATGCTATTAAATGATAAGGAACCCCTTTCTGCAGCATGTTTTTGTGCCCAGATGGTTATGTTTGCCTATGCTGTTACTTCTGCATCACAATTATAATTCATTGTACTGATGTTGAGTTGGCCAAGAGTATAGAAGGAAAAATCAGGGTTTACTCACCACAAGGAGTCCCTGTGCCACCACCTTCCATCCTATAAAGGAAGTGAAAGTGCTCCTCCCTTCGGTCTGATTTACGAAAGAGAAAGAAAGAGAGAAGGTTGTAATGTTGCTACGCTACTTAGAGCGTCATGGTGAGGAAATGGGACAACAAAACCTGAGGTTAGAAAGACTCTAGCATAACACACTGCTCTCCACCGGCAAGCCCTGATCAGAGGAAGCAGCAGGCGTACTTCCTCCCCAGAGAGACATAGTGCTCCCTACATGTGCTCTCCTGGTGGTGCCAATCACTTAGGCCAGAACCAAGGCTTAAATTTGCCTGAAAAGAGAAAACCTATTTATAATGCATATGTGAAGTTAATTTGGGGCAGAACTATCCTGAAGGAGGTAAGGCACATGGAGCTCATTAAGAAACTCAAGCATTTGAAGTTCACAGTTTTCTTGGAGAAAAGTGTTTTTCTATGGGGGTCAACTCTCAAAAGCAAAGACACTCTTGTCTCTTAAAACAAAGAAAGAAAATTTTTAAAAAAGAGTCATTGAAGCCTCAAACAAGAGTTTGTGCCTAAAACTGGGGAGAGGGATCAGAAAATTTGCTTGTACATGTTTTATTTGTTCGAAGTAAAAGTTTCCTTTTACTGCAGCACTTGTTACTTAACCCTACCCAACTCACCACTAAGATGCTCTAGTAAAATGTTTTCAACAATAACTACACCTCCTGGCACCAAATTTTGTCATTTCCTTTATAATCTCCATCAACTTTCAACTCAAATGTGACTGATAATTTTAATAAACAAAATAACATCACAAAATTTAGAAGAAAACGAGGCCCACAAAAATGCCAGGTAAATTAAAAATACTTACATAGTTGGCTAGTTTTTATTTGCTCTACAAGTAAATTTGGAAAATGATGGTTGATATCTCATTAGCATAATAATACCAGTCTGTTTTTCTGAAAAATAAAATCCTATCATTCTCCCTCAGACACCTCAAATAATGAATCACAACTCATCACAAATTATTTGTTTTCCATGTCCTCAATCATTAAAAGATCACCTTAATTCAAAAAGTTTTAAAATATTGCTTTTAAAATGATACTACCCTATCTAGGAAAGGGAAGAAATATGTAAATGAATCTGCTTTTAAAGAATCTAGATGTATTTTTCTTCTCTCTCTCTCTCTCTCTCTCTCTCAGTCTACATTTGGGGCAAAAATTTTCCAAATTCACTAATTCATTAGAAACAGATTCAACTAATTATTTTTGAGATCACCGAGGACAGATGTACACTTTTTATAGAGGCCTTCCTTTATAAACAAGACACACGGCTACAGACTTAAGATAATTATCCTGTCAACTCAAAATGGACAAAACTGACAGGATCAGAAGCTGGCAGAAGGCACTGTGGTTGAACAACTACAATGAAGGCTGTCTAAAGGGGCTGCAGACTTCTCCGGTCCTCTCCCTGAGTCAAAGTCAGAGGCTTTGCTCACTTGGTTGTTACCTCTGACAAAAAAACTAAAAGCAAAACCAAAGCTAGAGCCCAAAACCATGGCAATTTTTCAGAAGATGTGGAAACAGATTTAAAGATTAAATTAAAAGATTAAAAAAGCCTTTCCCAAATGCCATACCAGACAGAACTCTAAGCCGAGGCAGCAGGAATCTCAACTATGCAAAGGCAACACTATATCTCTACTATGGATGTGCTATGGAAATAGTCTATAGGCTGTAGATAGCTAGTTATCATGTCACCATTTGATGAGTTTGACAAATACACTTTTCCCTCTCTTTTGAAATAATTTAAAAGAACTAAGAGACTAGAAAGATAATTTTTATGATAAGAAGATTAGAATGTGAGAGAGTGAGAAAAAGAAAACATTAGTTAGAAAAAAGTACACAAATAACTCCTTTGTTGGTTTCTTTATTTTCTTCTTTTCCCTTTGAAATAAAAGTCAGACTGAAGGAAAGAGCACTTTTGCTTGCTGAAAAAGATGGAACATAACATAGCTATAGGCAAGACAAGTTAAATAATCTATAGCAGAAGTGGAACACATTGGAAGGAAAGCTATAAGAAGGCAGAATTTGGCTTTCTACATAATCATTTTGTAAAAGTAAAATTTATTTTTATACTCCTAAAACATTTGAAAAGTCTTAGACTTAATACTAACAGTAGCTTTGTTTAATATAACTTTACACATTCTCATGTAATTTTTGTGTTTTTAAAAATAATGCTCATTAATTCACATTCCCCTATGCATATGCCATGGAAAACAGATGTATGCTCATGTTATAAACTGGGCATGTGTAATTCTCACATACTTCAATGCTAAGGAAACTAAGTCCAAATCAGATACTGATCATTATTTATCTCTTAATTTTTACTCTGATCTTTCATACACATATTTAGCTATGCAGTAATACTAATTGTATAAATAAAAAATTATTTTTAGTGCTATGAAAAAACAATGCTCAGAGAATTGTTTTCTAAATTGCTCAAAGAAGATAAAATTGTAACACATATTACTATAAGTACATATTTCTCATTTTGATATAGCTTCCTAAAGGCATTGAGATTTTAAGGTAGTATTTTCATATTCTGTGTCATCTAACCTACCCTCACATAGATTATTGAAGAGTGCTGAAATTTTGTTACATAATTTTAACCGAATTTCATATTTCATCTATACCATATAAATATTAGTAAGTGACAGCATGAAATGTAATTTTTTAGTTAATCCCAATTGCATAGTGGAATCTTAAGTGAGTAACAGACTGCCCTCTAGTGTCCTTTCAGCTGTTAAACCTTGGAAACAAATGTGATTCAAACTAATTTAGATTGTAAAGTCTTTCAAACTAATATAAAAAAACAATCATTTTTATGTGCTAAAATATTAAAATATAATAAGGTTGGATCTAGGAGGCATTAGTCACTCAACACACAGGAGTAGAAGAGTTAAGATTCCTATTCCTTGCAATACCTCTTAGTATTCAGAACAAACAAGACTTTTCTAGTGCTACTTAAGTGCCCTACTTCCCTAAGTGACAAGGAACACACAGAAATGAGCCCGGATGTGGCAGAGAGTAGATGACTGAACACAATGAGGTTTCAAATTAATGATCCAAAAGAGACCCTTGGGAACACTGGCAAATCACTGTCACTCCATGTGGTCACCTGTGTGCTAACGAACGCAAGAAAGGAACCCGCTCTAGAAGGAAGAGTTGATTAAGCTCTTCCCATGCTTCATCTCATCATGCTAATAGTCATCCAGAACACTCTAAGTCTCTAAATGCCATTCACAAGAAGGTGGCTAGAACACAAACTGGCTGACCTTGTCCATCAGAGGATAGCGAAGAAGTCATCTAGTTCATAACATAGATGTGAAAATCCCCACGTACTATTTTGTCAGATAGTTTAATCTGATTATATCCAAACTTCCACAGATTTATCCTCTTTATGTAGTCATAGGTGAAGATTTTGCTAGATTTTGTTCTGGCTTTCTGACAAGGTTAGTAAAACAACATGATTTTATTGAGCTCACAACAGTAATAAACATGAACTGAGGTGAGGTTTTGTTACTATAAAAGCACCATGCCACAACTGTCTTATAAAAGGTGCACTCATAAGAACAAGGCCTTCTCAAAAAATAAATAAACTATTAGAAATATCTTAAAGCTAACAGTTAAATTCCTAAGATGATTCTCCCATCTGATTAACTTATGGTTAATAAAATATGTAACATCATTCACTATTTTTCTGGAAAGTGAGACAGATGAATATGTAAAGTATCATACATACCACAAACACAAGCTGAATTCTTATAACTTTTTAGTCCAAGCAATCTTACAAAGAATAATTTTTATTCTTGTCCCAATATGGTCACCATGATCATTACATCATTCCTATTTACAATGCAAGGATTTTCATATCAAAACGCTAATTTTTGAAGAAACTATATATGTTAAGTTTATGCTTGTTTTCTTCTTTGAAGATTTTAGAGATCGTAGTTTAAAAAAATGTATATATATATATAATTTTGTATATGGACAAATATTTTTATAACTCAATTTCCATGGTTAATCCATTTTATTAATTATATATACAAAGAAAGAGTCACTACAGTAAATTAAGTTTCATAAATTATTGTCCATTTTAGCAATCTTAAAACTTTTTTCATAATGAAATGCACTTAGTAAAGTGATGCAAGTTGGAAATGTAACTCAGAAACTACACTAAAAACCAAATAATAATGTTAATTTAGAGTAACTAAACAAGTGGAGGCATGTTGACATAACTACACAAAGAAAAAAACCTGCAAAATCAAATTTCCTTCCAGCCTTAAGACCAGTAAGCACTAAGCTTCACATGGGCTCAACATTTTTACCCTACTCTGATTTGGTAGAGGAGAAAGGGAGAGAAGTTGGTATTTGTCTCCTATGAAACAGGTATTATGCTAGAGTCTCTTTACATCTCCCAGTCTTTGTGGTAAAGATACTGAGCTTTCAATATCCCTTTTTAAGCAATGAGAAAACAGGCTTCGAGAAGTCAGGTGTTTGCTATAACTAACCAGCTAACTGTTGTTGGGTTGGGCTGTCCGACTCTTCCCATGAGGACAGTAGCCTAAGTGAATTTTTCTGCTGTTACAAATCAGCGGGGAAGTCTCACCTGTAATCAATAACTAAGACTCCACAGGCCACTAACACAGTGATTCTGAGATCAATAGGAGGTGGAACCCTGCAGCAAGAGCTCCTTAGAAGATTCTGGAATCACCCGCCTCCTACCACCTTAACCTAGAACCCAACCCTCTTTCCAAAAGGACGCCTAGCATGCCCAGGGACTTGGAGAAAATAAAGGCAGAAGCAAATCTTTAACTCTCATCCTGGGCCTTCATAAAGTCTCCTGTAATAACGTTTTATTGGCTACAGCAAAAGTTTTGTTTCTGGGAAAAATATGCATATAAAATGTATGATATTATATAAACATATAATACTCATTCAAAAGATAAAAAATTAATTTATGCACTAAGGGCTAAGGTGTGAATAAAACCATAAACTATCCTTATTCTAAAAACCCTATAACTAGTAAAAAATAATGAAATATTTTAGACACTTAAGATAGTTAAGGATCTTAAACTTACCTTAAGCCGTAGCAAGGCAGAGTAAGGAGCCTGAACAGTGCCAGGAAAACTCTCAAAGGAAGCAGAGTGAACACATACAGAAATGCATCCAGGCACAGGAAGATGCCAAAAAACATGAGCTGCATTTTAAAAGGAGAAAAGGAAAAAATAAGTCAAATATTCTTCAAACAGCTATAGATAAAAATTTCAAATAATCAGAAAATTTCTAAACTTGATAAGAAATTAATTTCTTATAACTTAGCTCAGGATACAGGAAATTAATAATTCTACTTGGGCACATGAACTACATTTTAACAATAGTACTTTTTCAAAGTCAGGTTTGTATTTCTCCAGTCATTGGTTTACCACCTATAAGAAGTCACTCACTCAAGACAAGTTGCCCTGGTCATGGCTATGCCTTGTCTGATGGAGCTTTCTGGGTACCTCCTCCCACTTTAAAGACATTATAGAAAACGTTTTAGATAAAACTTCTTACCTCTTACTTAAGTTTGTTATTTTCTATTTACTGGAGTGCTTTATAAAAGACTGAAAGAGTTAAAATACTATTTATGTTAAAAACGTGAACTGATTATTAACTTAAACACAATTTCATATACACTGAAAGCTGCTGTATTGGGACGGTCTTATTCTTGTTAACTTAGGGAGTAGCAGCTAACTTTTTTTTTTTTAAAACTCTACCACTGTTCTTTTTTTTTTTTAATCTTTAATTTGAACTGGCTTAGTTTTTTAACAGGAGCACATGTTCATTTTTTATTGATTTTATTATTTTTTTTAAATACACAACAACAGTGGAATGCATTACAATCCTTATTACATATATAGAGCACAATTTTTTGTATCTCTGTATATAAAGTATGTTCACGTCAATTTATGCCATTATACATGTACTCTTCCACTGTTCTTAGTCACCTGCCAGGTCCTTTCTAATTTTTTGGTAACATTTTACATTAAATCTGGGACTATATTTTACAGGAAGACAGAGTCTTGGTGGTTTGCTGAAGAAGACAGCCCAGGCTAGTAAACTCTGCTGTTCTAGGGTGGTAGCTTTCGTCAGGCCTAACACACGATTGGAGTCTGCTTTACCAACCCTCATCGTCAGACTCCGCATCCCCAGAGTCAATACACAGTCCTACCTACAGATGATAGCTAAACTTCACACTGCAGCAGGCTACACTGAGCCCCACTCAATTCATCTGTTAACACTCTAGCCTCCAGGAGACAGTCTTTAAAGAGGTAGCATGAGGTTAAAACTTTGTTAGTATGGGCCCAAAGGGAAGACCATGTGAGGACGCAGGAGAAGTGGCCATCAGTCAGCCAATGAGAGGGGCCTCTGAGGGGACCAAACCCACTGCACCTTGACCTCACCTTTCTATTGTCTAGGCCACTCAATCTGTGGTACTTTGATATGGTAGTCCTGGCAAACTAATACACACATCTTTAAATAAAGGCACACGTTTTATTAATTTTTGATAAGAGTGTCTCAAAAATATATTACGCAAATATGTGTAAACTTCTTAAGCTGAATATGTAGATCCTAATAGTTTTTGTTCTGTTTTTAACAATTCAGACTCATGTGAACAACAATGAAAGTACAATGTTAACCCAACAAGTCACATGCCACAGCGCAGGGGAGAGTCCTTGTTTTGCATCTGTGTCCCTGATTTACCTACAAAGAAGAGGTGCATAAGACTGAGTAGTGGTTCTTATTTATTTTTCTCCTGTCAATGAGAAGCCTTTCCCTATCTTCAGGTGGATTGCCTGGTGGAGCACCCAAAGCAGAAACTTCTGGAACCTGTGTTCCCAGAAGGCCCTGTGGTGTGTGTGCAGGACACAATGCATGGGAAAGGGAGCAGGTAGCTGTCTCCATGGCTCTTGCTGGGCCAACACCCACTAGCTGCTGTTGTGGGCCTAGTAATGTGCAAGCCCGTGGGTACAGTCAGCTAGCGGTCTGCATGGTGCTAAAGGCCGTGAAGACAAACTGTGTGTGCTGAACACAGGATGGCTGACAGCCAAACCAACCTAGGGAGACTGAGAAAAGCTCCACAGAAGAGGAGACCCTGAAATGACAACTTCTTAGACGAGGCCTGTGGGGAGCAGGCCTCCTAGGGCACAAGGCATGGACACGCACACAAAGGGGACAAAAAAGATTTAAAATGTACTGTCACCTTTTGCTATCTTAGAGGAACCTGAACTGGAATCATCCATGGTCGGCACAGGGACACAAGTCAGAGGACCACCCTTCCACATTAAAAACTTGTATAAACCCTGGACGAGCAAGTATGCCCATACTGTGCTGGACCTAAAACTGGACCTCCGAGAGCCCCGAGCATAACACACCACAACATGAAGTTGGAGGAAACAAGTGGCTCAACCTGAAGAAGTCATTGATGCACACAGGAACACACGACAGGAAGAAGAGCACCAGCTTTTTAGGGTCTGGTGAAATAGAAATGTGCTGCAACTCCAGTACCTGCTGTTCTGATGTTACATATTCTCAGAAAAACAGCACTTTTTAAAATTTTAGGCAAAACTTTCCTAAAAAAGAAAGCAAGAAATAATTCTGAAAATATTCATCTGTGAAGGACGTGAAGCCGCACTGTATCAAATGAGCCACTCTATGCAGGATGGTGTCTGTGCCTGCTTCTCACTTAGCATGCAGAGACCCAGAAAGCCAACAAGTTGTGCGTGGAAGGTGTCTGGTGCCACAGGTGTTCTGGGGGGTGGCAGGTGCTCACTGCTTAATCCTCTAACACTCCTGAGGTCATCATCACCAGGAGCTCCTAAGGCGGAACACCTGCCCCAGGACATGCAAAGGTGACAGGAACCAGCTCAAGCTTGATGCCTGACCCCAGGCAGGCCCCAGGCCCTCCCTAAAGTAGTCTGAGCAGAGCAAAAGCTCTTACTATTTCCATCTGCTATAGAGGCTAAGGCAGTTTTCTTTCTGCTTACTGGTCTTGCCCATTGCTTGGTGTCATATAAAATACAGAAATAATAGAAATTTAATGAGCCAATTTTATAAAGGGCTAGTGATTTTACATATTTAGGTTTGCAGCTAGCTTTGTTATTAAGAATTAAAAGCTTTGAGAACATATTAATAATAACAATGTGCACTTCCATATCGTCAGCTAATTTGTATGGCATCTTGATAAAATAGGTAATTGCTATTTCCTTTTCATTTGGACAAATAACCATAAATATTCAGGCTTTCTTAAGTAATGGCTAAAGAAAATTCCTCTCAAACATACAAGGTGTGACTTTAAGTTAATGAAATGAGCACATATGCCTTTGCTTCCCTTTTGAGAAGCACAAAAGTCTCCTGTTCTCCTTTAATTGCCATTTGAAACTTCAAAATAAATACAACATTGATGCTAAAATGCAAGAAGTACAATTACAATGATTTTGGAATACACCTCTTCAAACCCCGGGCTCCCTAAGTGGTGGTCACTCTCCTCCCAGGCCCCAATTCTTTAGGTGCACTGCACTGCCTCACCTCAGCTACCTGGTAGAGGGCTCTGCTCACTTCACTTGTTTTTCACCTTTACAGGGAAGGCCTTATAATGAGCATGTCATCTGTGAATTAGCAAGTGCATGTCTAACAAAAAGCAGAAAACCAAAAATATGGCAAAGAACCAAAGCATAATCAAACACTCCAAGGAGAAATAGCAAGCTGGGCTTTTACCTTTTTGCATTCTGTGTTAGACATATACCCTATCTCAGGGATGGAAGACAAAATGCTACACAAGATCTTTTGTGAAGACCTTCCTAGGGCTGGCTCATTCTTTGATTTGTCCCTTTACCTCTCCCCTCACCATTTATTGTACAGCTCTGACAATGCAGACAGAAAGCTGAATAAAAACAAATTCACTACTTTAAGAAGGTCAAAGTTCTACAGAGGAACTTATTGCCCAAAGAAGAGGATTCAACTTTTAAAAACAACACACAGTCAGAAATGCATTTATATTGCAATTCACTATGCGCAGATTCACAAACACACACAAAATATCAAAAGAAAAGCTTCACAAAAATAATACTATTATCCTAAGAAATGCAGATTGATGTTTCCTCTCCCTTTTTAAAATTCATGACCCATTAAAGGTGGTAAACCAGTCTGAAAATCGGGTCCCCAAAAAGAAGCAGGTTGAGATTTAGTTCCCTGCCTGAGAAGCTATCACAAGCAGTGGAGATGGCTCAAGCTGGCTCCAGGGAGTTTTTGCAAAGGGCAGGGAGCTGGAACACTTTGGCATATTCTTTATACAAAAGTGAATTAAAAGCTCTGAGTTACAAAACACAGGCACACGATTTAAAAATCTCTTAAAATCCACTCTCAGAGGAGAGATTTATCAAATATATATGCACATGAAAAAATAATTATTTCAACATAATTGTCTGCTGATGAATGAGGTGATTCTTGCTGTTCCTATAAGTGAAAACAATCAAAGAACAGAAATGTTCCCGGGCCTCTGTCTCTTGGAGGCCTTGTCTGGCAGGACTTCAGGAGTCTCTGCAGCTGCTGGGCTGCAGTCTGCTGGTGCATGTGGCCTCAGTCACTCTTCACCTCTGTTCTTAGAGGCAGAAAGCAGCACCCCACTGCCTACAGTGAGACTCAGGAGTCTGCCCAAGTTCTTGAGCAGCGCCGGCAGGGCCAGGGCGCCAGGCTGCAGAAAACGGAAGCACTACTGTTACTATTGACAATTATCATTCAAGTCTTCCAGATTCAAACTCACAATGGATTTGCCATTCAATATATATTTTTAAAATATGTATTGAAGTATTCAATACATATAAAATATGTATTCACGTAAGTTTTTAACATCTGATCTTCAATGTTGAGAAAATGACAAAGTGGAAGTGCTTTGGTGGTACACAGGTCAACAAAACATTGTGTGCCAGTAAAAATTTCTACATCTTGTTTTTATCACATTTATTTTGAATCAACTACTGTTGCTTTTATCCACTTGAAAAACCCTGCCTCAAAAGAAATAAACAAAAATGCCAGTCTGTCCCCATGGAAAATGGATTTTTTTTTTTAAAAAAGTCTTTATTTTCCCTTTTGAAAAATTTGTCTCCTTTAAATAGCATTTGAAATTTCAAAATAAATAAAACATTACGTATAAAATGA